AAACCTAGGTTCAAATAATGAAATTTCATTTCAAAACGTACCTCTTTTTGGATTTTTCCATTGAAATCTTTTGGAAAGGATGTGCAAATGCTAGGGTGGAAACTTTTTCAAATATTTCGAAAGGATGTGCAAATGCACAACACACCTCCTAAATATATAGAGTGGACATAAAAGGTTGCGTTGGTCGGAAATTTGGGTGGAAAAGGGTTGCGTTAGCCGGAAATGGGGTGGAAAAGACCTGCGTCAATAAAAAATGGGGTGGAAAAGGGTCGTGCCGTTTGAAGTTAGGGTTCTTGGAGCTAAGGGTTAGTTGTTATAGCCCAAAATGACACGAAAACCGTCTTCAACCGAAGGCTAGGCCAAAGGGCTCGTAGGACCCATCGGGCCATAATTGGAGAATCATGCTAACCGGCTGGCCTAAACCAGCCAGCCAGCTAGCCCCGGCCGGTTTAACATTTTGAATCCTAACGGCTACTTACTGACGTCATGCAGACGTAAGCTAGCCGTTAAATTTGAATTTTTTTTTTTTTTACAATTTTTTTTAAATTAAAAATTATATATATTTTTTCTTATAACTTCCTAAGCCATTAAACAACATTAAATAACATTAAGTAACATTAAACAATATTAAACAACATTAAATAACATTAAGTAACATTAAACAATATAAAACTTAAATAACGTTAAAAAAAACATTTAATAACATGAAACTTAAAGAACATTAAAAAAAACATTTAATAACATGAAATTTAAACAACATTAAAAAAAACATTTACCAAGATAAAATTTAAATGCCTACTCCATTCTTCTGTTGGCCTAAAGATGTGCAACAAGATCTTGTTGCAGGTACTTGTTTGTAGCACACAAGCGTGTCATCTTATGGCACCTTATGTACTCATTTAAAGAGATATTACCAGGTCTTGGACTCAAAGGCAAATTAGGGCCATCATGTATTTTTGCACGAGCCTTTCTTAACCTATTTAGATCCTCTTGGTTGTCATCAAACTCTCCATCAATATACCCATCTCAATCATCCTCCACAATCATGTTGTGTAATATGATGCATGACATCATGATGGAGTTCAAATTTTCTTGACTCAACCCTCTTGCCGGTTCCTTAATGATCTTCCACCGTGCTTGTAGAATACCGAACGCTATCTTAACATCTTTCCGGTATTCCTCTTGGTGTAAGGTAAACCACCTTGCGGTGTCATTCGCATGGTTTGCAATTGCTTGGACAAGTGTCGTCCACTTTGGGTAGATGCTATCTACCAAGTAATACCCTATGTTGTACTGACACCCGTTGACGTAGTAGTCAAGTTGAGGTGATTTACCCTCCGTTAGATTATTGAAGAGGAGTAAACACCCAAGAACTGTAATATCATTTTGGGATCCTGGGACTCCAAAGAAAGCATGCCAGATCCATGTTCAAATGACACAACCGACTTTAACACAATAGTTGGCTTTCTCGATCTTCCGCTAAAGCCTCATTGCGTTCCGGTAGGACAATTCTTCCACTGCTAATGCATGCAATCTAATGACCCTATCATGCCCATAAAGCCATGGTCTTCAGCTTTATGAAATAGCCGATCTAGATCTGTTTGATTTGGTTGATGGAGGTACTCCTCTTTGTAAAGCTGAATAACTGTGTAACAGAATTCAGCAAGATTATCATGGCATGTAGACTCAGACATACCATATGTATCACCCATCGCAACAGTTGGGAAGGCATAGGGCAGCATTCAGAGTGCAATAGTAAACTTTTGATGAGGTGAAAAACTAGAGCGGCCTGATTTGTCCAGTTTCTATCGAGAGTATGGACTGACATGTTGGTGCTCAAAGACATGACGCCTCATTCGGAAGCGACTTTTGAAATCCTCTTCGTTGTACACTGAGTTGGGGTTGAAGTAGTTGTTCATCATATTCTGATGTGCCATCTCTCTATTTTGTGGCTTGTAGCCACTACCAGCAATAGAGTCACCCCATTGAGGTTGTTCTTTAGTTGCCCCACACGCCATGACCCCAGCTATGGCTGCCATATATGATGCATTGCGCCATGCTTCATCTTCTTCATCGTACTCCTTATCTTCTCATCTCATATGCGCCCATTTATTTCCAATTTAGAATTGGATGAGGACCCCCAGTTGGAATCCAAAGAGAATCCAAACTTGGAATTATTGCAAACTTGAACTGAAATAGATTGAATTGAAAGAGATATTGGAGAGGGCAAAGCTGAAGGTGTGTGAATTATAAGCCAATATCCACCCTATTTATGGACATTGGAAGCTAAAGATAAGAAGTGCCACGCAAATAAAAATCCTATCTAAAATTCCCACAACCAATTACATCTCAACACGTGGCACTTGAAATCCTATCCAAAAAATTATTGAGATTACATATCGACAAGAAATCTGCAAAGTTACTCACAGATCGACATGTGGCACTCGAAATTCGAGACGTAAAATTATTGAGATTCCTTATCAACAAGAAATCTGCAAATTTACGCACAAATCGACATGTGGCATTCGAAATCCGAGACGTAAAATTATTGAGATTCTAACTCGAAAAGTTATTGACATTCCATCTCGAAAAATTATTGAGTTAGTTTAATTTAAGTAACCATATTAATTCAATTAAAATAATAAATTATGTTTGGCCCTATGACCCTTTTTGGCCCAATTGGTTGCAGATGGTTTTTTGTCACATGACTATGTTTAACCTATGGCCTTCTGGCCCCTCGGTTGGAGATAGTAAGAAATATGGCCTGGCATTGTTCATTAAAATATTAATTCCTTGGAGGGCTATATGGCTAAAACGAGCCCTTTGGCCCTCATTCAGTTGGAGATGGCCTAAGTTGGGTATATCAGGACCTACTAATTGCCCTTCAACTTTTAGGCGGTGGAGCAGTGTTTTTGAGTTTTGGGCAATATTTGTTCCCCTTACCTTCCAAGCTAGAACTGCTCTACAGAAGTACAAAAATTGGGGGTGCATGGGAAGCTGCATTAAGGTGTTTGTGGATGTGGTGTTGGTGTTTGATGGTATTTATGGAGGAAAAGTGGGTGAGATTAAATTTTTTCCAAACACATTAAAGATACAAAGAAATTTAAACTTACCAAAGCATGTTTAAAAATTTCATAATAATTCATTTACAAGTGTGAAAAATTTGAAAAAAATGCAAATGCTCGTGATCGCATCCTATGTACTTTGACAATAGGTACATCGTCATTTGAATTTTAAAGCCATACAAACCCTCAAAATAAATAAAAATTCATAATAATTAATGTACAAGTTGAAAAATTAAAGAATATATAAACGCTTGTGACTGCATCCTCTACGCTTAAACAATAGTTACGTTATCGTTTAGATTTTTTAAACCCTCCAAAATGTCATGAATAGTTTTTTTGTTTGAGCACAAAATTAATAAAAATTAATGTAAAAAAAAATAATAATACAATCACTCGTAATGACAAGTTTTACAGCTTTCGTGCAAGGCTCAACTTCGAAATGCGACACCATTATCCATAAACCCTAGATTTATATTTAACCATTGATTGTTGTTTATGCTCTATTCTTCTCACTGGATTTCATTTTTCAACTTTTCTTTTTTAAAAACAGGATCTTTAAGCGGATGCAAAAAAATCAACGGCTCAACTTTCTTTATTGTGCACAAGGTTCGAAAAGAAGCTAAGCGCTAGTCGGGCGGTGGGTTGGGGCTTAGCACCTTGGCGGCTAGGCAGGACTTAGGCGGGCGTCTAGGTGCACTAGGTGGATTTAAGTAAATGCATTATGTTTCATGTAAATAAGTATCTATTTAAAATTAAAATATATATAATTGCATCATAAAATACAAAATAGAATGACATATATATTATGAAGTATTGGAAAATAATGAAAAAATAGGGAACAAGCATATAATGTGTGTTCATTTAAGTATTCAACAAGTCTCTTACAATTTATTGAGAAAAACAAAATGCAAAATGAAAGTTATCTAGTTTCTATCTAAGTGAGTCACAACTTAGGCGAGTGCCTAGGTGGGTTTGGACAGACTAGGCGGCCTAGGCGAGCGCCTCAGCGGGTCTGGACGAACTAGGCAGGCGCCTCAACAGGTCTAGGCGGGTGCCTCAGCAGGTCTAGGTGCCCTTTCTTAAATTTCAAGCGCCTAGGTATTAATTGGGGCGCTGGCCAGCTGCCTAGTGGCTAGGCGGGGATTTTTAGAACAATGATTGTGCATATCCTTGAACATTTGATATTTTGTAGTAATGTAATAATTTCTTTTTTTTCATTAGGCTCTTATTTTGGTCTATGTGATACTTGAAAGACAAATATGTTTTTATGTTTTAAGGTACTATTGGTATGACAATGTGGTATGTAGATACTAATTTAGTATTATGTTTTTCGTTGGATTATTTATTGATTTAATAAATATTTTCTTTAAGGGTAAGGGGTTGGCTCACATTACCCATTTATTTTAACGGTGTTACGCAACACAACCCGTTAAGATATCAGATATGTCACGAAAATAACATGAACACAAAAAACACGATACAAATGCCACATCTAGTATTTCTAATGAAAAAAAAATTGGCTTAATTAATTAAAACTCGTGTAATATATGAATTTTCCTATGTTAATTAAAATTGTGATGTTGCACACTGGCCCATATACGAATATCATGCTCACCTTATCATCAATTTAACCTTAAACTAAAAAGGTAAAAATTCGAATGGTTATTTTTGTATCAATAAAAAAATCTAAAAATATAAAAATGTGAACATATGATTCTCCATAAAACTCGAAACTGACTGAATCACCACCCATTTTAGCTAAATATGTTGTGGTTGTGGAACTCCAAGTTTATTTAGTACTGTTGCACGTAGGCATCTTATGTGGTAATATGTTTGTTAATAGAACCTTGATTTACCAGGCCTTAGGGATTTGGACTTTGATTTAGTTTTGCTCTCAAACTCGTGGTGTTCTTTCCTGTGGGACAAAACTGCTAAATGTCTCAGGGGTGTGAAAGTGAAGCTCCTGAAGATAGGGTGGTCGAAATCCTGTCCAGGTTGCCGCCCAAGTCTTTGATGCGATTCAAATGCATACGCAAGTCTTGGTGCGCCCTCATCAATAGTCCTCGTTTTGTGGCCAAACACCTCAACAATTCCGTGGACAACAAACTATCATCCTCCACGTGTATCCTTCTCCACCGTTCTCAGATGCCCATTTTCCCTTACGACAGTTGGAAACGAGAATTTTTCTGGTCCATGATTAATTTTTCCATTGATAGTGATGAGAGCAACCTTCATTATGATGTTGAGGACCTAACTAATGTACCGTTATTGCAATGGGAAGACCATCATGAAGTAGAGATTCACGGTTATTGTAATGGGATTGTCTGTGTAACAGTAGGGGAATATTTTTTTTTGTGCAATCCAGCAACGGGGGAATTCAGTCAACTTCCCAATTCACGCCTTCTTCTACCCCTTCCTAGGGGAAAAGGAAAATTTGGATTGGAAACGACCGTTAAAGGATTGGGATTTGGCTATGATTGTAAAGCTAAAGAATACAAGGTTGTGCGAATTATAGAAAATTATGATTGTGAGTATTCAGATGGTGAAGAAACATATATTGAACATACTGCTCTTCCTCATACAGCTGAGGTATACACAACAACTCCTAACTCTTGGAAAGAGATTAAGATAAATATATCAAGTAAAATATTATCATTTTGTAGCTATCCCTATTCTTGTTCGGTGTACTTGAAAGGATTTTGTTATTGGTTGTCAAGCGATGACGAGGAATACATATGTTCATTTGATTTAGGTGATGAGATATTCGATAGGATAGAACTGCCTTCTAGGAGAGAATCTGGTTTTAAGCTTGACGGTATTTTTCTGTATAATGAATCCATCACTTATTATTGCACTAGTTATGAAGAGAGTTCCAGATTATTTGAAATATGGGTAATGGATAACTATGACGGAGTTAAGAATTCATGGACAAAACACCTAACAGCTGGACCCTTTAAAGGCATTGAGTTTCCATTGACACTTTGGAAACATGACGAGCTTCTTATGATTGCCTCCGATGGAAGAGCCACCTCTTACAATTCTAGTACCGAAAATCTCAAGTATCTTCATATTCCTGTTATTATCTATAGGAATAGGGTTATAGATTACGTGAAAAGTATTGTTCCAGTTAAGCGAGTCGAGGGCAAAGTTCCATTTTCTCCTATTTAATTTATATGTTTGATATATTGCTTGAGTTTGCACCTTCTAATTTTTTTTTTTTTTAGGGGCCTTTGAACTATATCTGCTTATCATGGACTGCATTTCGTTTTTGGGCTTCTCACATTTTGTAATGTGATTAAGTGTTCGATAACTATTTTTTAAAGCTAATTAATACTAAGAATCCCTTATGTTTTCATTTTTTTTCCTTTTAGAATTCCCTTCTTAAACTAATAACTTTTAATCATTTAACATAATCAAATTAAACCTTCTAGCTAGGCCTGCATTTGTGTCGTGTTTCTTGTATTCATGTCTTTTTTGTGGCATACCAATACCTTAACTGGTTGTGTCATGTAACAAGGCATTACACTACTACAATATTAGCTTTAGGTGGTGGATATTAGAAAAATCATGTCAGATAAAATATATCCGACACATCATTTAATTAGTGGCGGATATTAGGAAAATCTTGTCGGTTATATCCGACATAAAGTCCTGTCGGATATAAAAAAAAATCTTGTTGGATATTTAATATTTTTGAAGATTCTGATGGTTTTTAAGTTAATAGTTGCGGTTATAACCGACAGAAATTGACTATTTTATTATTTTACTTTATGGCGGTTATAACCGACATAAATGAAAATTTTATTATTTTAATATGTTATATTGATTAAAAATAAATAAATAAACACATATTTAAAATTATTTTTTTCACTCATGACCCTAAAGTCTAATGAACTCAATTCCCACAAGCCATAAATTTTCTGAGATAATAATAACAACAGACTACAATTTGAAGCTCTATCATTTTTGTAATAAGGATTATGCTCCCTTACAGGCAAGCAACAAGATACAAAGAAATTCAAACAATTTTTTTCAATACGTCACAAAGCACATTGTCTGGCACATAAACACACATGAACATCTGATGTACTCTATCATGTCTGATTTTATTATTTTAAAATGTTATATTGATTAAAAATAAATAAATAAACACATGTTTAAAAAAAAAAAAAAATTCACTCATGGCCCTGTCGGATATAACCGACACGAACAAAGCAAGATTTTGGACGACCACCAAAATAATCTCTGAATGTTTTTTTTATGCGATTTTTTACACATGCTATCTCGAAGTATATACAAACATATCTGACGGTTGGATCGTTAAAACTAATTTCGTAGAATGCATATCCTATCAAATTGAGAGATTTAACAAACACTTAAGAGTTAATGTTATACTTCCAATAAGTATAAAATAAGATTTAACCATTAGTGTAATTATTTTAAATTGAAGATCGAATTTATTCATTACATTCTTATAGGGTCGAGGAGTGTAGCTGTAAAAAATCATCAAAATCAGAGCTAAAATAACCGTTAAATTGTGATTTTTCGTTTGTAACCGTCCAAAACTTTTGTTCTGTTACCTAATCTCTGAATGTTTGTTTTGTGTGATTTTTTACGTATGCGATCTCAGAGTGTGTACAAACAAGTTTGACGGTTAGATCATTGAAAAAAGTTTCGTAGAATGTGTATCGTGTCAAAACGGTAGAGTAAATAAACACTTAAGAGTTAATGTCACATCCCGGCCCAGGCGGGATCACTTCTCGTGCCCGACTCCACCGTAGCACAATATTGTCCACTTTGGGCCCCCAGCACACCCTCATGGTTTTGTTTCTAGGAACTCACACGAGAACTTCCCACTCGCACGTTACTTGCTTAACTTCGGAGTTCCAATGGAACCCGAAGCCAATGAGCTCCCAAAAGGCCTCGTGCTAGGTAGGGATGAGAATATACATATAAGGATCACTCCCCTAGACGATGTGGGATCTTACAGTTAATGTTATACTTCCATTAAGTATAAAATAAGATTTTGTGGTATCCACTAGTGTAAATATTTTAAATTGAAGATCAAATTTATTCATTGCATTCTTATAGGGTCGAGGAGTGTAGTTGTAAAAAATCATTAAAATCGAAGCTAAAATAATCGTTAAATTGTGATTTTTCATTTGTAACTGTAGAAAACTTTTGTTCAGTTACGTAATCTCTGAAAGTTTGTTTTTTACAAGTTTTTACATATGCAATCTTGGAGTGTGTACAAATAAGTTTTACGGTTGGATCGTTGAAAAAAGTTTCGTAGAATGCATATCGCGTCAAAACGGTAGATTAAACAACACTTAAGAGTTAATATTATACTTCCATCAAGTATAAAGTAAGATTTGTAGTATCCACTAGTGTAAATATTTTAAATTGAAGATCAAATTTATTCATTGCATTCTTATAGGGTCGAGGAGTGTAGCTGTAAAAAAATATTAAAATCAGAGCTAAAATAATTGTTAAATTGTGATTTTTCATTTATAACCGTCAAAAACTTTTGTTTCATTACGTAATCTCAGAATGTTTGTTTTTTACAATTTTTTACATATGCAATCTCGGAGTGTGTACAAATAAATTTTACTGTTGGATCGTTGAAAAAAGTTTCGTAGAATGTATATCACTTCAAAACAGTAGATTAAACAAACACTTAGAGTTAATATTATACTTCCATCAAGTATAAAGTAAAACTTGTGGTATCCACCAGTGTAAATATTTTAAATTGAAGATCAAATTTTTTCATTGCATTCTTATAGGGTCGAGGTGTGTAGATGTAAAAAATCATTAAAATCATTAAAATTGGAGCTAAAATAACCGTTAAATTGTGATTTTTTGTTTATAACCGTAAAAAACTTTTGTTCCATTACGTAATGTGACAGCCCGTCCTGAAAATATCTAAAACGTACGCGTGAAAAGACTATTTTGCCCCTAGTTCAATGTCGTTACGTTTATTGGTTGTTTTGAGTTTGGTTGGCATGTTTGGGAACCACACACACCTTCCCACACACCATAGCCTTTTTCCTTCTGTTTCCTGCACTGTCCCGAGCCCTATTTCCCTTCCATTTCCTTCGAACGTACGGACACACACCCAAAACCCATTAAACTTCCACAGATCGAGGAAACCAAGACCATATTCGAGCTCGTGAGGCTTGTAGGAGTCCAACCATACCATTTTTAAGTAAGAACTCCATCGTTTTCTCGTCGATTCAACGATGTCCGATTTGGGTACTATTCATGCACACGTGATTTCTCACGTTTTAGGAAATTTCAAGCTTGTAGGAAGCTTGGTGAGGTCCCAAGGAGGCTTGGAGTAGTTCGTTTGAAGGAATTGGACGTCGGGAACACTAGTTTCAAAGTTGGCCGGAGTTGGGTTGTTTTTACAGGTGAGATTTCGTGGTTTTTAACCCTTGAAAGTGGTATGATTGTGTCCCTCTAGTTCTAAGCTTCATTTTGGTACCAAAATTATGAAATTTGGATGAAAAACGAAGAAGATATCGAAGTTTAAAGTTTTCGCGATTTTCCGGCGCCGGAGGCTCGTCGGGGAAGAAGACGGAATATTCCGTCAGATTTGACGGAATATTCCTGACGCCGTTGACGGAAACCGTTAGGGATAACGGAATATTCCCTACGGCATCAGTTGACGCCGTCAGTGTGCCAGGCACGTGCCTGCGCGTGGCCGGCGCATGTGGCCATGCCTTGAGTAGATCACGTTGGTGTACTCATACACCCCATTTGAGCATTGTATGAGAAGTTATTTCTAAAGTTTGGTTATGTGCTTTAAAATTAACGTTTTTATAGTTATTTCGCATATAGGTGAGACGTATCCCGAGGACGAGCATGGTCACTCGAGGCAGGGGGGTTACGACCCTTCCACTTATCAGTGAGTGGGCTTTTGGTTTTCCGTATATACCTATATACTTATATTTTCCCAGAAATTGATTTAAATGCTTATTAATTATATGTCATGCATTATATTATCGTCATTTATGCATCGTTAGTTGCATTATCGGGTGTATATATTTATATACATATGCATATTTGGTGCTGTGGACGCACAGGTAAGTGCCAGGTAAGTGTTATTCACGTTTATATTCAGTAATGATTGGAGATGCTTAAAGAGCTCATAATCTGCACCCCCGGTGTTAGTGCTCCCGCCCAGAGTAGGGCACAGTCCTTCACGTGTTGTTCACCTCTCGCACCACACGCTCAGCTTGGATCCAAGTTAGGTGCACAGTCCTGTCGTACAGACCACTTTAGGTGGTTCCGACTCGTAGGTGACCCGCGATTATTCGCACAGCCTTCACGTGATCGTAGCACTAGAGCGTTGATATGTATTACACCCAGGCTTGTCGTACAGACCACTTTAGGTGGTTCCGACTCGTGGGCAGGTTTAGTTATTGAGATTGAGATTTGAGCTCTAGATGCAGGCGTACGGGTCACGTTAGGTGACTCCAGCTGCCAGATTATATGTTATTGATATGATTATACCTAAGTACTTGCATTTCATTTTGAGGTTCCGATATGGCATATATTTGAGCATGATTGGCATATTTATATCTACGTACATATGTTTATTTTCTGGGAAGTATACAGGTTTTACGGCGAGGGGTTAGAATCTTGTTTTTGAAATGGTTTTCGAAAAGCTTTGTTTTTGCCCACTCATGCTTTTGTTTTGCGCCCCTCCAGGTTCTAGTTACCTAGTAGGTTCGGTGGTTTCCCAGAGGGCTTTCCCGGCATTTCTGACAGACGATCACCAGCGTAGGGTCACCTTCGGGTGTACTGTTGTCGCGTCATTTTAGTTTGGACTGCTTTAGGCTTTCTGCTCTGAACTTGTGTCTCACTTACGCTAGCACTTATTACTATTACATTGTATGCTAGTTTTTATTTATCCGTACTTCTTCTATTATTATTTTATTAGCTTCCGCACCGTGCACATGGTTACGTCACTTCCGCGTGACGGCCAGCATGCCCTGATCTCGGTTGGGGTGTGTCACGTAATCTTTGAATGTTTGGTTTTTACGATTTTTTACATATGCGATCTTGTAGTATCTACAAACAAGTTTGATTGTTCGATCATTGAAACTAGTTCATAGAATGCATATCTCCGTTAAATTTGCCAAATTTTTAATTGGGAAAAGTAATTTGTGCTAAATTTATATTTATGTTTTTCAAGTATTGATTAGACAATAT